GATCTTACAAGTGTTGTCTTTTCCGAGTAGGGAATGTTGAGTTCCGACCAACTGGATTCTTCTGTGTTGGTAGGAAGGTCTATTATGAGAGTGGGATAGTTGATTGGAGAGATTGTACTTCCATTTGAATAATATAGTTTGTTGAATATATGTGTTTCTTCTGGTATATTTGTGGTTATTGTAATCTCTGAAAATCCAGAATAATTTGAATCTGGTGTGTAAGTTGTTGTAGTGTTTTGTTGGATTGATATGTTTTTTGATTGTAGGGCAGGTTGTACGTTTATTGTTGTATTGACCTCTTTTAGTCCGTAATGATTTTCGTCTGGTTTGAGGGTGTAATTTCCATTATTTGTGAATGTATGTGTTAGTGTTTGAAGAGGTGGTCTGACATCTGTTGTTATTGATACTTGATTGAAAGTATGATTTGGTTCAGGAAAGAACGATTGTTGACCATTCTGGTTTATTAATTTTACTAACATATCTTCTGTTTTAGGAGGTACATCTATTTTGAGGTTCACTTCTTTTATTCCATCATAATTAGGTGGCGTTTTAATTGTATAATTTCCATTTTGGGTTATGTAAGAAGATAAAGTTATAGAATTTATTGTTTGGTTTGTTTCTAAATCTGGTATATTTGTTAGAGAAATTGTTTGTTTTTCGGAAATTAATTCGAATGAATCTTGATTTATTTTGTTACATGTTTTTATAAGGTTTGTTAGGTTTATCTCTGTTTCCATTGTTTAAATGTTTAATGAGATGAGTCGAATAATTAGTCAATTAGATATTTAATTTTCTTTGTTGAAGTATTTGATCCAAATTTCATCAAAAAGACCTGGAGAAATTGTTGAGACTCCACCGTTAATTTCTAAGTCTATTTCAATGAATTGTTGATTTGGATTTTGTTCTCTTCCACTGCCTTCTAATGTTAATGATAGACGTTTGGTTGAATCATTATAATTTAATCTATAAAGAAATATTATTATGTTTTTTTGAGGGGTGATATTGAACCATTGATTTTTGTATGCACCAAAATGTATTGTGT